AGAATCGGAGTTAATTGAGGTCGCGAAGGACGAAGAATCGGCGTCGGCTGCCATAGATCGCCATCTTGAACTCGAATTACTGCCCGATCGCAAAAATCTAGGGCCGGAAGAATTCGAACTGCACAGACGCAGTGGCTTCGGCGGATACTGAACCGCCAAAACTCGACCTAAGCAACTCATCCTCGAATCCCTTTCCTCTTTTCTTCACTTACACAGTTCAATAACGATGTAGTATGCATCCAAATGCAGATTTTGTGAGGCAATAGTGGAGTGGAGATGAGGTATGAATTTTTGTGTGTGAAGAAACAGGAAGAATGAAGACGGAGAGCATTTAAATTATGATGCTACTGTTTTTGGCAGGAATCATTTTCCAACGGGTAATGGTGGGAAACACGTGGAAGCAAATGGATTATTATGAATATATATTATTGATGTTATGGATAAATCCATAAATTTTGTTTTCACTCCTCAACTTTAAAATGTAACAATTAGATCCTTAATCCTTTAGAGCGTTGCAAATGCAATGTGTACTTTGTTTCATACATGGATGCTATGGACCTCGTTAAATCAAATAGAAAAACATAACAAAAAATTTTATTAGAAATAGAATAGCGTATAATATTATTGATTATTTTAGAAAATCCAAGTAAAATGCTACGAATACTTTTTTTCTACAACAGTGACAAACTTGTTATAATGAATCTAACCATATTAAATAATTTTTTAAATGAAAAGAAAAATTTAAAAAAAAAAAAGAATTTAAGTGATAGGGCTTGACTTTCACGTGTTTTGTACTAAGTTGAGAAACACAAATTAAGAATTAAAAATAGACTTGATTAAAAACCTATAGTATTGTTACTACACAGATCAAAGATAAACAAAAAGGGTAAGGGTGTGATACAAGTACATCCATATCTCTAATTTATGATTCACTAAGTAAACATCAAATGATTTTCTTTTTTCTCCTTAGTTTTGTATCTATGAGTTGAATTAATAATATTGTTGTAAAGGATTTTTTCTTATCTATATAAATGCACGTATTTGCAAGAAAAACTTTTTCTTTATTTAGTGTGTAATTTTATAAGTTTTTATAAACTTGAAAAATTATTTTATATGTCATGAATTAACTTATGTTTGATTCTGGAGACAATTTAATTTTACTCTCTATGTTATTTTTATATTTGTATGCTTTTATATGAAAGTCAACAAACTAACAAACAAAAATTATTATGAAAAGTTAAATCAAGGATCTAATTTGCTCAGTATTAAAGGTTAAGAATGACATTACAAACAACCTAAAGGTAGAGTACTAAAACAAAATTTAATATTTTTTATAGAGATTTTCATTTCCCTTGTTTCAATTAGGGCTTGTTTGGGTCCGCAAGTACTAGTAGTGAAGCAAGTCCGGAATAAGAACGTTGCCCTTACCAAACAAACACTGTTGTCCGGCCAAAAAAAAAAACCCTAGCTCGTACGGCTATAAATACATAGCCGTCGCCGCTCTTACGCCCAATCTGTGTTTCCTTTGTTCTACAGGTGTCTCAACTCCATTCAGTTCTTCCTGTTTTCGGGCTGTTCCTCAAATCGGCTTTCTCTACAATGACTCTTCAATCTCGAAGATTCTGTATTCTGGAACAATTTTGCCTGAATTGTAGAATCGTTGGAGGTTGTTGATTCTTTGCTTTGCAAATTTTATTATTCTTTTCTTTTTTAATCTTTTGGAAGAGAAGATCGTAGTAGTGAACTCAGTAATTTCAAGCTCAACAGACCGGAATGCAGGCTTCTCTTCTTGAGAACTTTGCGCGTCGACTACCCGGCTGAACTGAGCGATCTGGGTTTCACGATGCCCCCGCACCTGCAACCACCATCTCAACCAGCCGCATCAAGCCGCCATCCACTGGCTTGCTGGGTTTTTCACTTCATCTTCCTCCTCTTTTATCTCCTCCTTTTTCTTTCCCTCCTTTATCCATGCCCCTCCTTCCGCCATTTCCGTATGCAGAACCAAGATCGGTTCTTCTATTGGGTTTTCTACAGAACCCATGATCTGGATTATTGGGGTTCCTCCTCGTTTTTGTTTCCCACTCTTCCTCTGTTTCTGTTTGGATCTTCTATTGGGTTTTGGTTGCAATTTCTTTTTCCTTGGTCTTTATTTTTGTTCTTTTTCCATTTCGTTCCTTTTTTTTTTTTAATGAAATTACTTCGATTTAAAATGATTATTTAAGCAAGTCAGCTTCTTGACTGGATCTAGACCAAAACGATCCAGGCAATTAAAATTCACAAACTTGCGATATGAAAAACTCAGCCAGTATCACTCGCCTGAATCTGATCTGCTGATTTTTCAGGCCCTTTTCCTGCTGGCATATTCCCCACCTCTTTTCCTTTATTACTGGTTTCTGGTTTTGGCAAACGCACTCTGTCCCAAAGCCCATCAATGTTTTGAGGCAATTTCTTCGTTTGCTATATAAAAAAATCCTACTTACTTGACCGGAGGATCTCCCTCGCCTGATCTTTACTGGTCACATGGTTGGATTACATTTTTTTATTACTTTCAAAAAAATCTTCAATTGGGTTTTCTAGCTCTCTTTCTCCTCCTTTTTCTTTCACCTTCTTCATCTGCTTCTGTTTCGAGAACCCTGGGTTCTCCAATTGGGTTCTATTGAGAAGTGAGAACCCCATGATCTGCGTTTTGATATCTGGATAAATTGGATTTTTCCCTTGAATCAGTTTGTTGGATTATTCGATGGAGTTTTGAGTTCTTGACCTTCGTTTGATTTTTGATTCATAGATCTCTGTCAATTTATTCATTTTTTGTTGTGTTTATTTTTTTAATCTCAACAATGAAATTTGCATAAGAATGAGAAGAATAAATTTGGAGTGAAAATTGAAATTTGTAGAGAAAATAGAAGACAGAAATTTATGGTGAATTTGATATTTGTATTGGGTCTGGAATTAGAAGGATGAATGAACGAACAAATGCAGAGAATTTGAAGAAATGATTTTGTAATGTGGAATATGCACTACGAAACCTCAGGTGTCGAATGATTTTCAAAGAGCAAGAAGAGATATTCTTGTGTTTTAATCTTTTAAGTTTTAATCTAGTGTTGAATAATTAAAGTTAAATGGATAATTAAATTTTTATTAATGAATAATTAAAGTTAATTATGTTTTAAACTTCAATGGGACTAATGGCCTCTTTTGTTGAGCGGGAGAATGAGGTTGATGCCAATACTTCTCCAACTCAAAACATTTTTTACATACTGGAAATGAAACGAACACGTGCAATAACAACTTAATGGTTTCCAAAACAAAATCACCAGTTTCATGGATGAAGTTGAATTGAGGAATTAAAACTCTGAAATCAACAAGGCATAGAGAACAGCAAAATGTTATTCAAGAAAATGAAGTGGGAAAATTCCATAATATTCAGATCCTGTTTTCTGTCTGGAAAAAGCAAGTTGGCCATTAGCAGCGGTTTTCTAATTTAGAGAATATTCAGAGTCAACAATCCGTTGTAGTCTAGTTGGTTAGGATACTCGGCTCTCACCCGAGAGACCCGGGTTCAAGTCCCGGCAACGGAAATCCTTTTTTTTTTTTTTCTTTTTTTTGAAGTGGAAAAATGGAAATTGGATTGTTGGGCCGGGAGTTGGAATTGGGTTTGGAAGAAAATGGGTTTGCCCACAGGTGACTGAAGTGTTGGGCCTAGTCAAGCCCTTTTAGATTTAAATGGGCACGTAATTTCTGTTCAATGAATGGGCCAGGAACAGGAAAAATCGCGCTGTTCATGGAAATTCTATTGATAAAATAAATCCCCTTCTGTTTTGGAAAATATTTACATGTGAGCATATTATGGGGCTCTGTTGCCTTCATACAAATCATATCAATAAATTTTATCTTTGAAAAAGTATTTTATAGTTTAAACTATTCCAAATTATAAAATATTAACTCTTAAATGACAAAAAACCCCCTGATATTAAAGGCTTTCCTCCATTTAAAGTCCATAACAACAATGAACTCTTTATTTTATATGGGCAAAACTTGTGGGGAGTTAAACACAACTGAAATGATTTTTTTTTCGAAAATAAACAATAATATTTTAAACTAACTTTATACATGTTAAAAATTATCTCAAAATATTACTTACACTACTATGCCAAAAAAAAAAAAAAA